ATACTTATCTATAGTTTCATTTGCCTTCTTCTTGATTTTCAAGACCCACTTGTTTCCAATTGATCTTCTATTAGGCGGCAGATTCACAAGTTCCCAAACTTGATTCTATTCCATAGAACTAAGCTCATCTTTCATAGCAGACATCCACTGGTCCATAACAAGAGAATTCAATGCCTCTTGGAATGAGCTAGGCTCATCAACATTAAGTGACATGCATGTGAGACCCTCTACTTCGAAGTGTATGCGGAGAACTTTCCCACGTTGAATTCTTCGAAGTTCAACCCGCGATCCACTCTTAATAGGTGTCTCTAGCAAGGTTGGTGACTCAATATGAGTCATATACTCATTCATTCTCAATCAGTGGCTCACTCCCACTATCATTGACAATCATGAGAAGACTCCCACTATCTGTATGCGATTCAGGTTCTTCATAAATCTCTTCATACATACTAGACCACTTTTTGTTAGGAAATTTTGTCTCTATAAAATCTACATCGCGAGATTCTATTTCTTTCATCCCACCACTATCATGTTCTTGACAAAACACATATCCCTTCGAGTGCTCAAAATATCTAAAAAAAATGCATTCAAGAGACTGTCTGTCTAGTTTCCCATCAATTGAGAAGGGATGTGAACATGTGCAGCTAACCCCCAAAGATGTAAATGAGAAAGATCTGGCTTTCTACCTGTTTATAACTCATAAGGGGTATTGAGAATGGATTTTGATGGCACTCTGTTTAAGACATATATCGCAGTGAGGAGTGCATCTCCCCAAAATGATATTGGGAGATTGGCGTGAGCCATCATAGACCTTACCATGCTCAACAGAGTACGATTCCTTCTTTCTACAACACCATTTTGTTGTAGAGTGTAGGACATCGTCTCTTGTCTTTGGATTCCCCTATTCTTAAAAAGCTTCTTAAATTGATCAGATAAATATTCTCTCCCTCGATCAGTACGAAGAACCTTAATTCTTTTGTTCAACTGATTTTCAACCTCTAGCATAAAACGATAAAAGCAATCTATTGATTGTGATTTATGCGAGATTAGGTATATATATCCATAACGAGAATAATCATCGATAAATGAGATAAAATAATGGAAACCGTTACGGGCCATCTCATTAAATGGACCACAAATGTCATAAGGTATTATGTCTAGAAGACCGATTGTTCTTTTTGCTTTAGAAAATGACTTTCTAGTTGATTTTTCAGCTATACATGATTCACAGATAGGTAAGTCTATTTTGGATAAAGGAAACGATCCTTCTTTGGCTGACTGGATCATCCTATCTTTTCCTATATGAGCAAGCCTAGAATGCCAGATTATGGAGTTATATGTAATAGAAGAGGTAGAAAATGATGACGATGTCATATAGGTAAAAGGAAGGGAAAAATTAATATCTTTATTATCTAAAATAAATAAGTTATTAAATATCTGGTCATAACAGTGAAAACCATTTGAAAATGTAAAGGTAACATAATTAAGCATGAAACTGATTATGCAACCATCTTTAACTAGACATAGAACCGAAAGCAAACTTTTTCTCATTCCGGGAGCATAGAGGACGTCATGAAGAAGAATGGTCCGTCCACTTTGGAATCGAAGTTGGTAAGTTCCAACCTCTAACACATCCTCTAATACGTAATTCCCCATGAAGATCTTCTGACTTCCAATCGGTAAAGTTTGGAGCTCAACGAATCCTTTTTAATCTCTTGTTAAATGCCTTTGTTGCTCCTAAATCCACAATCCACCCAGTAAATTGTGAATGAGCAACAAGCACCTGAGTGCAAACATTTGCATAGCTAGGGAAATCAATTCGCATCTTTCTAGGTTCAGGACATTCGCGTGCATAGTAGCCATTCTTCCAGCAATTATAGTAAGTTATTTCATATTTGTCCCCTTTGCGCCTCCCGCATCTATGCCTGGCCTTTTTCTTTTCTTAGCCTCTTGTTTAGGTTGCTCATTTCCTTGGGGTGCCCCATTCTTAAACGTACTTCGAGGTTTACAGCCTTGATGCCTGCTGGATTGGACAATTAAAGCAAAACTCAGCATCTATCTCAAGGTGATGAGAAAGTTGGGAAAAAGTTGTTGCAAAGCAGCATCAATGACTTTATGTTTTCCCAAGATTCTAGGAGATACGTAAGCAATCCAAGCATCTGTTGCTCGTGACTAAGTTTCTTTTCAACTGGCTCTAGGTCATGTATCATTTGAGATATGTTTCGGACATGGTCCGCCATCGACACATTTGGAGGCATTTTGTATGTCTCAAAAGCCATAGATAAAGCTCATAACCGAGTAGCGGAAGTTTCAGCATACTTCTGTTGAAGCGCTTCCCACATGGCCTTGGCCTTGGTGAATCCTGCGAATTCACGAATGAGGTCATCAACCATAACGCTTGGCAAAGTAAAGCGAGTGCTACGGTCAACATTGTCCCATACCTCATATTCACAGACAAGTTCTTCAGTGGCACCTTGTTTAGGTTTTTGCTTAAGGGTAGTTAGCTATTCAAGTGTACATTGCTCATTTAGAAGGTATTGCATTTTTCTACGCCACATAGGAAAATTGCTCCCATTCAACTTTTCACCGTTAATGAGATCTGCAATCACATTTTTAGAAGTCAGTCAGTCAAAACAACAAAATTGCACTAATTAATATCGATCTCACATGGTTTGTTTGATAGATTATGACACTTAGATTATCATTTTTTACGCTTGCTAATTGTTTAGCTACTTGAAAAAAACTTGACCTTTAAAAGTCTTGTTATGAAAATTCACGTGACCACATTGAACTCTTGCTTGTAATCAATACCAAGTTTCTTTCTTGGATCTAGTATCTCAAATACCTCACAATTTACAAGCGGTACACCTTTCTAGATGCATGCCCACTAAAATAAGTACCTTTATGCGGCCTTGACATACCAAAAAAAAAAGAGTAAAGCCCACTATGCACAACTAGCATATGAAGCCTATCAAGATTAGGTAACCATGATCCTCACGGTCTAGGATGCCTGAACTTGCCTAACCCATGCATAAGGCCAATACGCTATGAAGATTGCATAATGCACATGCCTATGGCTTTAATATAACCATTATATGCACTTTGCAATATCATAGGCCAACCACAACCAAGCCTTCACAAGTAAGGCAAGAATGGTTATGCGAGCACAATTGGGAACACGGTTCCACGATGACTTCGATACCAATGTTGAAAAAAATACAGTCCAACGGCTGAAGTAGAAGCAAAATAAAATAATCGAGAATCGAGTATCATACCTGAGTGCTCGCACAACAATTTTGGTGAACAAATGTTGAGATGAATGATCAACTCACGTAGGTACGTTCGACAACTACTAGAGTTGGTGAAATCAATTCCACACCGCAAATCGCGAGCGAGGTGGAAACTCACTAACACTCCAACAGATGCGATAGGAGCAGTCTAAACTTGACTCTCACTCACAACTCTTTATCACTCAGGGTCGGATCTCTACTTAGATCTCAAATGAAAGGGGGATTGTACTCTCTCTCACCCTTTTTCTCTATATCTCAAGAGGAGCTCTCACATCTTTCTTGTGTGAGTTGTAGTGTATATGGAGACCTTCACCCCTCCTCCTCTTATAATGAGAGAAAGTGCCATCTCATGAAGAGGTGTAACTCCCTCATAAAGAGGTGTAACCCTATGAAGAGGTGTAACTCCCTCTTGAAGAGGTGTAACCCTATGAAGAGGTGTAACATTTTCCCACCTCGCATCATGTTTGACTTACAACATGAAGGGAGTGTGGTCAACTTGGGTGTTCCCTCACACTAGGGATGCACCCTCATGTCTACAAGGAACAATTTGGGGTATTTATGTTATTTGGCACGTGAATGCCAAAATGACAAAAATAACCCTAATTGGTTCTCATTATTAACCTTGGATATTGTGTTCCTGCTGATACGAGATTGTCGAGCTAAGCATAAAGCAAACATGAATAGTCCCCGTATAAAAGTGTTTAAAGGCCTCTCGACCTAGTTGTTCCTCATTACTAACCCTAGACATTATGTTCCATATTTGCAAGTCTTAACAAGCAATGTATTTTCATCATTTTATTGGGGCATCTTAGGGGTTAAATTACGAAAATGCCCTTGACTAGTAGTTTTCCAAATCTTAGACAATGGTATCTTGGAAATTTTTGAGATTTTTTTTTAGAAGGTACTTGTGAAATGTAAATATAAAAAAATCCTCAAATGTCAATTGGGATCATTTGGCCCCTCAATTGATATCATTTGATGCTTTTAATAATTTTGGTAAGGGGCCCCTTAAAGGTTTTAAACTATTTAACCTCAGTCGACCGTGTTGATTCTTAACTAAGAGTTAATGTAAAATAAGTCGATTGGGGCACAATGAAAAACATGAAATAGTTGGTGCTATTCATTTCAAATATTTCCTTCGAGAACATGATTACATTTTATGTCAAAAATTTGAGAGCCTTAGGGCTAATTATGTTGGCTGTGGGATCAAACATACAATTTGGCATCAAGGTACCACAAAATCTTCTAACCACTACTTCGAAATGAGTCTTGGTGGTTCTAATAAATCACATTATACATGAGGAAAATCGAAATTCTCACATAGAGTTAATACATGGGTACATTTTAGGACTATTCATAAAAAGACTATTTGCATTTTGTACAAAGAGGTCACAATCATTCTTGTCACTTAATTAGACACAAAATTCTAAAAAAAAAATTTCTTGGACTTTGTAAGTTGATCCAAGCCATCCAATTTGACATCTAATAAGTGGGAATTATTGTGATGTCCTTCTATAAAAGGTAAATGTTCTCTATGCAGACAATCTCTACATACTATTCTCATGCAACATATCATGGAATTTCACATTTCTATGGAGATTTAATCAATTAAACATGAACATATTCAGCAAAGGTCACAAGCAAAAAGCCCAATGGCTCTGATTTCTCAAATGCTTTTTGAATCTTGATCAATGCTTCCATGCCGAAAGTTTATTCTTCCTCGTACCCCCAATAGAAGTTGGAGGAAATGGAATTCCTAGTGACGCCCCAGGGCCTCCGAAGCTGCCAAACCATCAAAGTAAAACTGGTCAATTCGAATTTTTGTCTACCATTTTATCTTATTTTATTTTGGAGGGAAGCATATCAAAACACACCAAAAATATTAACTATTTAATTTTTCAACCATTAATCAAAATACACCGAAAATATCAATTATTCAAAAATACAAAGATATTTTACATAAATTTTCTTGCATATTCTAGATGTATTTGGCAAAGATCGGTGAATGTTTGTTGCCATACTCACGTTTGTATAGTTTGATTATTTTTTTTAAGGGATTGTCTACAAAGAGACTATTTATCTTTTGTACATGGAGGTCACAATCATTCTTGTCCCTTAAATTTTAAAAATGGATAGTTGTAAGAGTGTCATTGAATAGACACAAAGTTTAAAATAAAATTCTCGGACTTCGTGATACCCCAAGCCAGCCAATTTGACATGTAATGAGTGGGAATGATTGTAACCTCCATTTATAAAAGATAAATCGTCTCGTTGTAGATAAACCCATTTTTTTAAATATCCCAAACTGTAAATTGGGCTTCAAGTCCATGTTTTCTCAAAAAATTTAACCTTGTTTTGATTTTTTAAAATTATTTTAATTTTGAATTTACTTTCAATAAAAACTTTATTTTTCAATTTTTCTTAATCTTTTAAATCTTTTTAAAGCCGTTTGGTCATGTGATGGACTTGGCTAAGTAACTCACCTCAGGTAAGGCCTAAGTCCCCGGCTGTGGAAAATCCCATTGATAAATCCAATGATGAGCATTTTAGAAATAAATTTTCAAAAAATGGGTGAGAAATTACATAATTCATCTCTTGAAGGCTTTTGACAAAGTTCCTAATTTCCTTTGTGGTGCATAAACTGGATTCTCACATTGGACACCAATGTTGTGGCTCTGTTGTCCTAAGGGACTTAAGGCCCTTTGCCATGTAAATGGTGCAAATGCACCGCTTTTTCCTTCTTGTTTCAACAACTTTCTCTCACAAATAAATTGGTAAGGTTTGCAATTTATTCCGCTGATAGGAATATAAACAATTTGGCTATAAAGGCATTGTCAACAATGATATCGTTTATCTTTTGTATCTAGAGGTCACAATCATTCCCATTTATTAGATGTTACATTGGATGGCTTGGGAAGAGTCACGAAGTTTGAGATTCTTTTTTTATTGAAACTTTGTGTACATTTAATGACACTCTTACAACCACCCATTTTAAAATTTAAGGGATAAGAATGATTGTGACTTCCATGTTCAAAAAATAAATAATCTCCGCATAAAAAATCCTAGCTATAATCAACCACTCATGGAATAGAAGGCAATCGAAGGTAATTTTTCAAAACATCATTATATGGAATGCAAGTACTAAAGGACATTAGTTTTGATTCTTTTGAAAAGATTCTCCTTTCTGATTTGTTTTTGGCAAAGCTACCATTCGATTAAAACGACATGACAACCTTTAAAAATTTCTTACAACATCACCTTGTGAAGCTTTAATATAAGGAAGAAGATAGGATGGTCCTAGTGGACTATATTATTGCTATACTCCCTTAGAGCATGGTATCACTTCTTATAGAAAAGTGGAAGAGTGTGCAGAAGGCACACTCTTCCAATTTTTGTGATAAACACGACTTCCATGCTGCAGCAGGAAGTTTTGTCTACCAAAAATACGTACTTTTTAAGAGGGGGGAAGGCTGCCCACCTATTTTTCGGCTTCCGCCCCATAACAGACGTAGGAGGCTTGATTGGTGGAAGTTATGAGGCGGAAGTTCTACCAATCAAACACGCCGTAAAGATTAGAAAATGGAAAATAATTTAGTCCATTTATAGTATATATGTCTGTGCCCGAAAATCCACATATAGCATGTGGGCTCTCAAATATCACTTTCTTGGAGAAATTGTGCTAGTAAGTCTCTGTAGGTGTATGGTGGTTTGAGCTAGTTATTTGCAGTTCAAGAAGACTAAAGCTTCACTAATTTGTGTGGTTTGGTTTTAACAAAAAACAGTTCAGATTTTCAAATCTGAGGAGCCTCATCAAGTATGCTCCTCAATTATGTACTCTCAAAAATTCCCAAAACCCAATAGGAAAAAGAAAAATAAAGAGACAGATACAGTCATTGAAGCTCATGCACCTTGTCTAGATATATCCCAGTCCTGATCGTAGCTAACAGCCCAAAAAAAATAGCCGCCAATATGTCGGGTAATCGCAAACCTGATCTTGCCAATAGTCGACCGAGCATCATCGTAACCGACCCAAGAATGCCCTGCATACAAATACGTAGAGACAGTGGTCCTATCATACACCACAGTGGCATTGTTGGTGCAACTGAACTGCACCACCTGCGTATATGTCAAAACCCCGGTATCACCCCCGGGCCCCACCCCAACCGCTGGGGCACCTATCCCATGCACATTGGGGTCTTTCAACTTCCAAGTGTGCCCATAAAGTGGCAATCCCATCACCAACATACTTTGAGGGAGCCCTGATCCTAGCCACGCATCAATGCCGTAGCTCGTGCTTACGTTGCTCTTAGGATCATAAAGAGCAGCATGAGCCCCGGTCTCCGATGTGTCCCATGCGCCTCTGTAATCAAAGCACATAGCATTAACCCAATCCAAGTGGTATTTTATGGCTTTGCTTGGGTAAGACCGAGGGGTATCAGATAGGAAGAAGTGGGGAGAGAAGTAGACTGCAGCAGTTAACAAGAGGCGGGGCCTTCGAGACGAATATGCTTCGGTCTCAATGGCTCCCCTCCACTCGATGAAGAGTTTGGCAAGGCTGGCCATCTCGTCAGGGTTAGCAGGGAATTCCCAATCAAGGTCTAGGCCATGGAAACCAAACGTTCGAGCAACTTCAATTGTAGACTCAATGAAAATTTGTCGAGAAGGCTTTGAGGAGGCCATGAGGGCAAATGCAGTTGAATTGCTGCCGCCTCCTCCAATCGAAACGAGGGTTTTGACTCGTGGGTCCCGTAGCTTGATTGCAGCGGTGAATTCCGATAGCAAGACACTTTCATTTGGTGAAACCCTGAGCTTGAAAGTGAGGGGGTCCATCTCTATGAAGGCATAGTAGAGGTGGGTGAAGTAGGTTGTGTCTATGGACAATGGGGGTTGATAAGAGTCGGTCGATGAAGGCCAGTAAGCTGCTTTAATGGCCGCCATAGAGAGGAGGGATTTGCTGGAGAAACATAGAACAAGAATGAGCGCAAAAGCCACTCTTCTCCAGCTACCCATGGTTAAAGTCGTGTGAGGAAGTGGAAGTGTGGGAAAGGTGCTTTATATAGGAAACACAAAATGGTTAGAATATGAGTGATTTACATACAACCCTAAATTATTTTTTAAAATATAAAATGCTCTATTTATAGGTGGAAATAAAGAAAGAAGGGTGGTCAACCCAACTTTTTTTATTTTTTTATAACTGCCTCTCAATCCGAGGACATCTTCAGACCGAATTTTATATTATTTTATTTTATTTTTTCATTATTAGGGTACTACCCTAAAGCTTAGGGCACTGCCCTACTAATAAAAAAAGTAAAACAAAAAGAATTTGAAATTCAGACCGAAGATTTCATCCTCCGATCGAAAGACAATTTTGAAGAAAATAAAAAAGAAAAGTATGTTGACCGATCGTCTTTCTAATTTCTGCCGATAAACAGATCATTTCATATTTTAGAAAAAAAAATTAGCGCCTCTATGTAAATCACTCTTGAGAGTATTCAACTTGGGTTCCACCGAATACATGTCTGTCTTGTTGGGTCCTCTTATTTGCATTTGTATGGTAGTGTTTATCGATAGCCAGCCGTTTGTAGTGTTTCCTATTTAATGTGTGTGTATATATAAAAAGCCGCCCCCGCACCCCCAGAGGGTTGATAATTTTGTGACTATAACTTTGTATACTTCTGGTTGGAAGTATTTAATGATTTTGTGACTATAACTTTGTATATTTCTGGTTGGAAGTATTTAATGAGAGAAGTTCATGCATGTGCTTTTATTGCTTGATGATGGACAAATCTAAGCTTCCTGTGCCACAATACGAGTATATGATATTCAATGTTGAAAAACATGAATGTTGTGGCCAACTTGCTTGTTTTTATCAGTTTCAAAATTGACCTAACATATATTCAATGTTTCTTCTGAATTTGGGGGCCTCTGTTGAATGCTTGGTTGAAGAGAAGCTTTGTTTCGAACTCTGAGACAAAAGGGAACCATGCGGGAACAACAACTGGTGTAAAGATGATGAGGCCCATGAGGTATTCATAACTCTTGACAAGAGCTTTCAATGAGCCCCATAGACTGAAACCTTCATCACTGGCCTGCATATCTGTGCAATCTGCAAAGACCCAGACACAAATAGAAGTGAGTTATGTATACCAGTCATGATTAATAAAAACAAAAATAAAAAATTCCTATTTTTGGAAAGGCCACAATAAAAATATTATTTTTTCTTTTTGAGAGGAGAATATAATATGTATATTGGATGTAACAAGATAAGAAGTGTATATTATACGATTGTATTGCCATTATATATAGAATAAAAGAACGACCACAAAGTAAGTGTAGGGCACAATTATTTTCTCAAAGAGTTCATCTCTCTAAATTTCTTTATTGTATCAGAGCAAACATCAATCCCACTCTCAGCTTTTCATGTTACAAGTTGTTCCGCAATCCAAAGTAAGTCTCGTACTCTCCTTTCATTACATGTTTTGTTTTCGAAATTTTGATTTGGAAATTTCGTGCAAAATTTTCGTCTCTGCATATCATCGTCTTGCATCATCCTTCCTTGCATCCCTTGCTTCCATCGCACATCCCTCTGTGCATCCCTTGCCTCGATCTTTTTGCACCCTTTAGTTTCTCATCACTTTGCCTTTTGTCCTCCATTCCGTACCATTACAAATTGAGCTTATTGAAGGAGGCCTTTCATAACTCATCACATAAACTCCATATCATTATTTTGTCTTCACGTCCCATATAAAAGACTCATCCATACCATCAAAACAATCCATATCACCCAAGCCAAGCCTCTCAGGTCTAGCCCATTCTTTTTAATTTAATCTTTATACAAAGCCTACACTCTCTCTTACACACTGAAGAGCTCTAAAAACTCCGGCTCACCATTCTCAATCGATCCATCTATCCTCAAAATACTTCTTTATTCTAATGGACATTTCATCTTCACCAAACAAATATCTTATTCCCTCCACCTTGAATATAGGAAACTCAGTGCCTATTAAATTGACACAGAACAACTATTTATTATGGGAAACCCAATTTCTCTCTCTTATCGAGAGTCATAACCTGTTTGGATTTATTAATGGTGATTGCTCTACACCAAATCAAAAGATTTCCTTTCCTGATGGTACTAAAGAAATACAAAACCCAGACTACAAATCATGGCTAAAGTCCGATCGGCTTCTTAAAGCCTGGATTACAAGGACATTATCATAAGAATGTATCAACCTCGCTGTTGGCCTCAAGACATATGCAAAAGTTTGGAAATATCTGAAGAATGCCTATGCAGGTAATTCTCATGTTAAGGAGTTCCAACTTACTCAGCAGCTCCGACTCTACAAGAAAGGAAATTCAATCATATGAGAATACACATGCAAATTCAATAGTATTTGTAATGATTTAGTGGCTATAAAACCTGTGGCAAATGAAAATAAGGTTTTTTTGGCTTCTTAATGGACTTTGCCCAAAATATGAGAATTTTGCTATCACTATGCTTAAACCTCCAATTCCTTCATATTATGAAATTATACCTCTTCTTCAAAGCCATGAGATTAAAAATCAGCCCCATGTCTCTGAAGTCACTTGCATCCAAATCGAAATATGGTCTTTGTTGACAACAACAACAAAATATTTTTGGACCTAACAGAGGTACCAAGAGTTACAGAGGTATATGGAGGAACAACTTTGGTGGTCAACATTTATTCAACTCTCGAGTACATGGGTTTGTTCAAACTAACAGGATCAGTAATGTGGGTTGTGGGATGCCACAGAAAAATAAAAAAAGTGGTGGTACACTTCCATTGCGACACATGGATCAAGACTTCCAATAAGATTCTAGATACAAAAGTCAGCTCAGACACCTCGGGAAAAATGTCAAATTTGTGGGAAACTTGGACATACTGTATTGATGTGTCGGCATTGATTCAACTACACGTACCAAGTAAAAAATATTGCTCATACCCTTCTGGAATCTTCTTGATCGTGCTTTGATGCTTGGTGTCAAACCTATTTCCACATCAATAGCAATGAAGAATAATATTCATGGGAATTCTTATCTATTTTCTTGTCCATCTCTTTATCAGAGCATTATTGGTGCTCTCCAATACATTGTTATAACATGGTCAGACCATTCCCATAGTTTTAATAAAATATGCCAATTTATGCACAATTTTCAAACGGTTAGATAGACTATTCGTTATCTCAATGGTACACAATCATGTGGTATAAGAATCTTATCTGCTAGTTCTTTTGAGCTATATGCTTCATTTGATACAGACTGGGCTAGATGTTCAACCACTTGTTGTTCAACCATTGGTTTCTGCACCTATCTTTGTTCCAACTACATATCTTGAAGTGCTAAGAAATAGTCAACAATGCCCTGTGCTAGAGCTGAAGCGAAATACCAATCTATGATATCCATTGCTGCAGAATTAATATAACTTTCTTTTATTCTTCAGGATATTGGGTTACCTCTTCCTCAGCCACCAACATTTTTTTGTGACAATATTAGTCCTCTCTACATGACAGATAATCATGTTTTTCATGCACAGATAAAGCATATTGAGTTGGACTATCATTTTGTGTATGAAAATGTTGCTTTTGGATTACTTGTCATTTGTTTTGTTTCATCTTGTAATCAAGTAACTAATATCTTCACCAAGCTTTTTCCACGAGATATTTTTCAAGATCTTTACTTCAAACTCAGGCTTCAAATGTCTCCCCAATAGAATTTGAGGGGAAGTAATAGAAAGAAAATTCAAAAACTCCAGTTTTTGGAAAGGCAACAGTACAAATATTGTTCTTTCCTTTTGAAAGAAGAATGTAACAAGATAGGAAAGTGTATATTGCATGTAACAAGATGTAAAAGTGTATATTATTTTCATGATATACACAATGAAAGAGCTACTACAAAGTACGTGTGGGGCACAATTATTTTCTTAGAATTCCTCTATATTTAAAATTCTTTAATGATAATCACTAATATGTTTGAAAGATGAGAAACATCTTAGGCAAGCACACATGCATACATCACAAACATGCATGCAACATAAAAAAACATTTTTAAAAAAAAAAAACATTTTATGGTGCATTCCAAGCAATCCCATTCAAATGTGGTCCCCTTCAAAGACAAGGAAGGATTGAGTATCCTAAGTCACTCAAGGTGCACATTTGGTTTGCGTGAAATACTTTTCTCGTAGTAAATTAATTTCTTAGGAAATAGATTTCACTTGCTTTTTTTTTTTTTCTCATGTTTGGTGATATTATCTAGATTTTCTATGAAACTGTTTCCTTTCGTTTGGTAAACTATTTGAGAATCTTGGAATCTAGAATATAAGATGACTTTTAATTGTTACTACATATATTGTTGAGAAGGCATTGCTCATTATCTAATGAATACAATATCTTGAAAATTGCTCATCTATAAGACGTCTAACAAATTTAGTTAACCATAAGATCTAAACATGTTTTAATTGGTTATTCTTTCTTTCCCTCCCTCCGAGGCATGAAACATTGATTAGGTATTGATATCACATGAATTATTAATCTTAAAATGGTCTCTTTCTTTCTCTAGATCTTAAAATAATATCTCTGCCTCTCTCTAGATCTTGAAAAAGTCTCTCTCCCTCCCACATATGCTTCATATGAACCCCACCTAGTACCATGTCCATTAGATTCTAGTACAATGTTAAACCAAGTTTGTATCGTAAAGCATGAGATGACACATAGAGGGGGAAGAGTGTAGGGTTCTCGAGAATCTTTAGCTTGCAGAACGGGAATCCAAAACATCGGTAGATAGTGTACATGATTGACTAAATATGAAGTAGATAAATACAACTATAAATTGAGTGTAATAAATAAAACAAACATAAAAATCACACCACAAAAACACATAATTTACATGGTTCACCCCATATGGCTACATCCACGGCCTCGGCAAATAGAAACCCATTATTACAATGAAGATTATAGTTTTGGATTACAAGAGATATACCTCTCTA